AAACCACCAACCTTCCACTTGTCTAGTACTTAGTTTTTATCCTAGTATTTATGTTTTTAAGTTAAATGAAACTTTTATTTTCATATGACTAGCTGTTAACGGTCCCTAAGAAGTCTGAAAGAATTAGGACATGTATGTAAAAGTGCACACTGGTGTAAGCGCTGTCACAGTGGAGCTCTGTGTTCAGTAAAAGCACTTTGTGTTTATAGGGGATGTTTCCCAGACTTTAAAACATGATCGCCTCCTTTTCCATGAGTACATATTTCAGGGTATACAAATGACTTGCTTCTCTTAAGACAACATCACTCTTTGATACTTGGGATATTTTAACTTTGCTCAACCAGAAGAGTTTTCAAACTGTTGGAAATCTGTTAATGGACGACATTTTTTTTCATCCTAAAATCTGTTGAAAAAATATACAGAGATGCCCTACTTCAGGATGTATTGGATTTTTTATGGTGGTAAAATATCTATAACAAAATTTATCGTTTAAAATGTGTAATTTAGTGGCATTAATTACATTTACAATGTTTTCCAACCATGACCATCTACTTCCAAATTTTTATCTCTCCAAATGAAGCTGTACCCATTAGGCAATAACCCCCATCCCCCCTACACACATACTCGTGAAGGCACTGAATATTTTAAATTAAAAAATATATACATTACCAGGGCACCTGGGTGGCTCAGTGGGTTGAGCATCCATCTGACTCTTGATTTCAGCTCAAGTCATGGTCTCAGGGTCCTGGGATTGCCCCCCACCTTGGCCCCATGCTCAGTGGGGAGTATGCTTGGGATTCTTTCCCTCTCCCTCTGCCCTTCCCTCTGTGCTCTCTCTCTCTCTCTCTCAAATAAAAAAGTCTTTGGGACACCTGGGTGCCTCAGCAGTTAAGTGTCTGCCTTTGGCTCAGGGCATCATCCCAGTCCTGGGATCAAGTCCCACATCGGGCTCCCTGCAGAGAGCCTGCTTCTCCCTCTGCCTGTGTCTCTGCCTCTGTGTGTCTCTCATGAATAAATAAATAAATCTTAAAAAAAATAAGTAAAACTTTAAAAAATACATATGTATGTTAGCATTTGATTGAGCTAAAATATTATGGTAAATATAGTATAAGGGATCATAAATTGCAGAAATAGTGATTATGGATAACTAGAAATAATCATAAGATGTTCAGTAGAGGAGATTGTTTTATCTGTGGCAAAATGAAACCCTTAGAAAGTATTTTGCCTGTAAGTGGCAGCACTCAGGCTTCCTTTTCCCTTGTTCTTGATTTCATTGTGGGGGGAAGAATAACAGCCGATATCTAGATTGCAGTTAGAAGAAGTGGAAAGAACTGGACACAGACATATCTCTTCACAGATTTAAAAACTATGAGAAGAAATGCTTTCTTTCACATAATCCTTGGACAAGCTTGAGTTTAAGCCTGGGCCTCACTACCTAGGCCACATGACCTCATACAGGTCACTTCTCCAGGCTTGATTTCCCCATCTGCGAAACAAGGGCAGTGCAATAGTAAAGGCAAAAGAGGAATAGAGGCATAAATGTATCATAAGTGTAATGGAGGGATGGAGACATAAGTAGGAAGTGCTTAGCACTGGTCTGTGTGGAACAATTAGGAGCTTGGTGAATGGGAGCTACTGTTTCCACACTTTGCGTAGTTTTCCTTTGTGAAATAGCCTTCACTTAGTCTGAAACCGCCTACCCTTCCTGGACTAGCCCTGCATGTAGGGGTGTCTGCTTGTCTGGGCTGGCACTCCAGGGATTTTCCTCTCCACTCACCCTACAGCCACCACATCCCTCTGATAAGGACAGATTAGGCTAGGCCTTGGCCTGAACAAGTAGTCACATTTTTTCAATGAGGTATAATTGCCATATAGCATTATGTTTCAGGTGTACAGCATCATGATTCAACATTTGTATATATTGCAAAATGACCACCATAGTAAGTCTAGATAACATCCAAGTAGTCACGTCTTATGAACCTGATTTTTAAAAAAGTAATTGCTTATCTCCCTGTCGAAATTGCTTGGGCTTTCTAGTTCCTGGAGGGAAAATGTCAGTGTCTTCCTTAATATCCTCCCAGGGTGACTGAGATCCTGGGGCCAGGAAATGCTTTGTATGTAGGGATTATTCTCTTGATCTTAGCTCTCTGAGGGAAGCAGTCTTTAAGTATATACCATGGAGTAAGGGATAGTGTTAGGGTCTTGCAAATAGTACAGAATCATACCTTAGTGGGGAGGGGGACCATGGTCCTGCTGATACAGCTTTGGGGGGGGGAATTATTGAAAGCTAAAATACACATCCTCTTCGGTTTAGAAATCCCACTTCTATCAGTCCATCCTGAAAACCACCACTATGGGTGCACAAATCTATAGAGAAAAAGAGATAGCATTGTTTATAACAAGAGGAATTAAGGATGTTTACCTGTGGGGGGGGTTGAAGAACCAGCGGCAGTTCTTCCATCACGTGGAGCAGCATGCAGTCCTCACAAGTACGGAATGGTGAAGAAGGATGTGCTTGATATGTTGTGTTATCAAAAGAGCAAGTAACAGAATGAACTGTTTTTTAAAAATACAGTGTGTGGGTGTAAGGTTCGAGGTTAGCTAAGGAAATCAGAAGCAAGATCAGGCAATGTGCCCTGCCGCTTCACTTCCTTTTTTCTCCTGGGCCTCCCGGAGGGACAGCTCATCCTTTTTTAATTTAACAGTCACTCCCCAAATTTCAGTATGTTATCTTTCAAGGATGTTTTGAACGAAAATATTGATCATTCAGAATTCACCCCCCTCCACGAAAATAGTGTCATCCTTAGTGATTAGATTCTTACACTAGCCATCCAAATTCTACTCGCCTCAAACGTGCCTCTCATACATTTAAAAATATTACTAATTGAAGAAATCAACCCAAACAGGAAGACTCTTAGCAAAGTTTCCTTAGTGCTGGTGTCTGAAGGAAAGTGCTCGTGGCTTTTTCAGTGACTATTTATTGAGCCCTCACCCCCACCCTCCACCCCCAGCCCCCGCTTCTGTTGAGGTCAGTTTCCTCAGGGGCCTTCCTTCCCTCTGCCTCCGCCCCCCTCCCCGGGATAAATACCTTCTGGGTTTTGCAGTCCAGAGAGGGAATTAGGAGAGAGCTGGGGCAGTGACCTGTGCCCTGAGATCTGAGCAGTCGCCCTGCGACCCCTGCTGTAGGCAGAGCCTCTTGCCTGCTCCCTGGACAGGCAGGAGACACGTCGTTAGCTAGGCCATGGTGCTGCTGTGCCAGGCAGGGAGTGGTCCACACCTTGTCTCCTGGGCACAGGACCTATGGTGGGGAGCCAAGCGATTTTCAGAAAGTGGTTTATTATTTTTTTAAATATTTTATTTATTTATTCATGAGGAACACAGAGAAAGAGGAGGCAGAGACACAGGCAGAGGGAGAAGCAGGCTCCATGCGGGGAGCCCGATGTGGGACTTGATCCTGGAACCCCAGAATCACACCCTGAACCGAAGGCAGGCTGATGCTCATGCGCTGAGCCACTCAGGTGTCCCGGTAGTATTTAAAGTAAAAAATGAAAGCCTCTCGCATAAGAAAAGGGGGAATGGATATAGATTCAGTCTGAGAGGAGATGGCCCCCTCATGGTCATCCAGCCCCTCAGGGAAAGACTTTGCAGGGAAAGACTTCGCAGGTGTTGACATAGGAGGGGCCCCTTGAGTGACATAACTTGTGGAGTGTTTCCTCCAGTTCATGGAGGGCCTTCCTTCTGTCATCTGAACACCGTGGTGTGGCTGACTGCTCAACCAGAAGGCCTGACAAGACATGACAGGATAAATGTGGTTGTGTTTGGGCAGGTAGCAAAGACAAACCGCCTGTGAGTCAGGTGCGAGAAGGGAGCTCAGGCATGTCCACTGGCACCCTTGGGCCAGCTCCCTGCTCCTGTCCTGGAACCGAGTGCTTGGCCTGACCTGCCCACCACTCACAGAGGTGGCCACACCGCCATGGTATTGGTGGGGTCACCCCTGACAACTCCCTTTCCAAAGTCTCCTTTAAAAGTTGCTTTCTCAAAAAAAAAAAAAAAAAAAATAATAGCGAAAGGGAATATAAGGGAAGGGAGAAGAAATGTGTGAGAAATATCAGAAAGGGAGACAGAACATAGAGACTCCTAACTCTGGGAAATGAACTGGGGGTGGTGGAGGGGGAGGAGGGTGAGGGGTGGGGGTGAATGGGTGACGGGCACTGAGGGGTACACTTGACGGGATGAGCACTGGGTGTTATTCTGTATGTTGGTAAATTGAACACCAATAAAAATTAATTTATAAAAAAAAAAATAAAAAAATAAAAGTTGCTTTCTCTGCAGGGATATTTCCATCTTCATGATCGTAGCAGTTAGAGAAAGGTTTTTAGGTTTTTTTGTTTTTTAAGATTTATGTATTTGAGAGAGCGAGAAACCCAAGCTGACTCCACACTGAGCAGGGAGCCCAATGTGGGGCTGGATCTCACAACCCTGAGATCAGACCTGAGCTGAAACCAAGAGTCGCACACTTAAGCAACTGTGCCCCCAACAGGCCCCTAGAGAAAGGTTTTTAAAGACAAATTTCTAAGATGAGGCTTTTTTGGTCTTTCACACATGTGGGTGGTCCCAGTTTGGAGTCATTTTGTTTTTATTTATGACTGATGATGATTTTCACTAGCCACCTGACTCTTCCAGGTTCTTCAATGCTAACTATCCCTGAAAAGAAAGTGAACTGAGAATCTGCTCCCTCTGAAATCTGAAACAGAAAGCAGCCTTAAAGGAATGAGGATGGAATAGTCAGGTGCAGGTTTTGTTGACTTCTCTTTACCGTGTTCTTATGTTTCAACACAGCTGTCAGAAGAACTTCCTAACATAAACCTCTCAACAGATGGTGCTCGTTCTGAGTGGATAGGAGAGGCCAATACCTGAGGTTTGCTTCACAGGGTAACCTGACTATTCAGTTAGAACCGAGACTTGATTTTCCTGATCACGGGGTATTCTTTCTACTACAGATATCTCCAAGGCCTTGGTTCTAACGGAAATTGGCCCCAAACGTGACCCAGCCACTCTGAAATTGTTCCTCAGCAACATGGAGAGGTTACTGCATGCCAAAGCTCATGGGTATGACTTCTCAGTTCCTGGGACACCCCGGAGCCAAAAAGGAAAGTGCCAAACACACAGGCTTGCTCTCAGTTCCCCCAAGGAAAGAGGAGAAGATCCCATGGGAGGGGTGATGGCCCACCGGTGCCCCATGTGGAGGCTGGGAGAGCCAAGTGATGTTCATAGGCCGATGTGCTACCTCATGCATCCAGCTGTTAGGAAACAGATGGGGGCTTTTGTTCTTTTCCAAGCAGCGCTTCCAGAATCCAAGTGATGGATCTTCAGGCACCCAACCAGTGAATCCTGTGTGGACTTAGAACCCTTCGTAAATGACATCACTCCAGCAAACATTTAGGAAAAATAAATCCAAGTCCAAGTGGACCTGCCCTCATCTCCCACCCTCCCTAGGTCTATGCTATACTAGCCACATGAGGTGATTTAAATTTACATTAAAGTTTAGTAGATTTAAGACTTGAGTTCTTCAGTTGCAATAGCCACATTCCAAGTGCCCAACAGCAACCAGTGGCTAGTAACTTCCACGGTGCAGAACGTTTCTATCCTCACAGAAAGTTCTCTTGGATGGTGTTGCTCTGCACCCCAGATCTTGAATCTAGAGCTTATTAGAGAAGCCCTGTGGCTCATTTTTAATGACTGGGAATGTCCAGTAGAGGGGTGATGTTGGATGACGTCTGCTATTTAAGAGAAATCTGGCTTGCACACAGTGCCACTCACAGGAATGTTTGTCCTCTTCCCTCTCCTCTAGGGTCCGAGTGATCGGGAGCTCCACCTTGGCGCTCTGCCACCTGGCCTCGGGGGCCGCAGATGCCTATTACCAGTTTGGCCTGCACTGCTGGGACCTGGCTGCTGCCACAGTCATCATTAGAGAAGCAGGCGGCATTGTGATGGATACCTCGGGTGAGCCCCTCTGACCTTCGGTCTGTTGTCCATCCCCAGGGGAATGACAACAGAGACTAGACCCAGTAATGCCACCAGAACCAACATCCCCCAGTCCAGACCCCACAATACCACCAGACCCAACGTCCCCAGTCCAGACCCAGCAATACCACCAGACCCAACATCCCAAGTCCAGACCCCGCAATACCACCAGACCCAACGTCCCCAGTCCAGACCCCGCAATACCACCAGACCCAACGTCCCCCAGTCCAGACCTGGTAATACCACCAGACCCAGCATCTCCCAGTCCAGACCCAGTAATACCACCAGACCCAACATCCCCAGTCCAGACCCCACAATACCACCAGACCCAATGTCCCCAGTCCAGACCCTGCAATACCACCAGACCCAACGTCCCCAGTCCAGACCCAGTAATATCACTAGTTGCAATGTTCCCCAGACTAGATCAAGTAACACCACCAGACTCAATGTCCCCCCTAGTTCCTCAGAGTTTGTTGATGAAAGACCATGTGAGGACATTGGGAAAACAGGGGGCCAGTGCTTTCTCAGCTTTTCTGCCTTCCTATTCTATGCCTCTAGGCTGGAAAATAGACCCCAGGATCAGGATATGGCCAGAGAGTAGCAACACCACCACTGTACACTTGCATAACATTTGACAGACTTCTAGAATACACATTGTGACCACCAAATCCTGTGAGATGAAGGGGAAGATAGCACCCCTCACACCCTGTAGCCCAGCATGGGGTCAGTGTGGTCAGCATGGTGTATAACACAAGCACTCTGTGACCGTTTAAGAGAATGGACCCATAAAGGTGACCTGTTCTTCTACTTCAAAGTCATCATGTCCCAGTGACTGACCCTCCTGGGGGGAGAATCCCGTAGCATATCTGTCCCCCCATAACTCTGCTTAGCTTCAGGCAGACCTCTCATCTAATATTTAGGAACAAGGAGTCTAAGACCAGGTGAATCTTTTTAGATCCCATTGTCTAGCTTTTTAGTCACAACTTGTTAGGCAGCCTACATCAGGTCACTGTTCAGACGGGCCCCACCCAGACCTGCTCAGTTGGGACTTCCATCACATGGGGTCCCCGGTGCCACCCAGGCAGCAGGTGTCTGAGAACTCCTCTCCACTATATCTTGCTCTAACTGATCCTGTGAACCTCAGTCCTGATGGCTAGACCTCAGCCTATATCCCCCCCAGCACAGCCTCGACTGTGCTCTTTTGCTCTTGCAGGAGCAGCAGAGTGGAGGCTGAGAGGCCACGCCCGCACTTCGGCCAGGCTCACACCTAGACCTCACCCTTTGGTCCCACCTCCAGCCTGGCACAGGAGTTTGTTTTCCTTGGAATGTGTGTGTGCCCAGTCCTCATTCAGGACTCTCCAGTAACTCAGGTGCCCTCTGTTCTCTGTCCTCAGGCGGACCTCTCGACCTCATGTCTTGCAGAGTGGTTGCTGCGGGCACCCGAGAAATGGCGACACTCATAGCTCAGGCCTTGCAAACAATTAACTATGGGCGGGATGATGAGAAGTGAAAGGGAGCAAAGGGGCCGGGAACTGCGACCCAAGGCCTGGGCCTTCCTGGGACTGTGGGGGCTGGTGGCAAGCCCCAGGGACGAAGCTGCCTCTAGCAGCCTGCACACGTCATGCGTCTCTGACCACCGCCAGAGGGAGGTGTTATGTTCAAGCATGTGGCTTTCTGGGTAAATCCACGTCTTTCACCGGGACTCGGTGTTTAGCTGGTGTCTCTTCTTGATCTCACATAGCCTTTGTCAGGTTAGTACCAGTTCTTCTGTCAGGGCCAAGACCCAAATCTTGTATGGTGTACGTATCGAAAATTCAGTCTCAACTTTTTTTCCTCCAGAATGCAAATCTCAGGTAATAAGGCTTTAGAACTGCTGATAAAGCGGACTTGTTCTCAGGCCCTCCCCCACGGTACTTCAGAATGCAATAAATCAAAATAATGGCACTCTGCTTATCTGTTTCCCTCCATGAGTGTGTCACCTCTTTCCCCAAATGACCCACAACCCTCCACAGCTGTAGATGCAGGCTCTTGGGGAAAGTTCTCATATAAAGCCCAAAGTTGGCAGTGTTTGCTGTCTGCTGCCTTTGGTAAGCACTGTGAAAACTATTTCAGTAATTATCATGTGTGTGTTAGTAGGTAAAGTATGGCATATGAAAATTTTAGGAATTTATTTGAACATAAATCAACTCAAATCAAGCGGCACCAAAGAGAAGAGGCTGGAAGCACTCTGTCCACGGCAGCAGGGGAAAGCTTTTATAGAGAAAAGGCGAAAGCAAAGTAAGAAAATTATCAGTGGGCTACAGTTTAAAACCTCTTTGCCTGTTTGTGATTGGTTGTCCTTAGATTCACCTTATAACCTTGAGAACTTACCAGCTTAGGTTTTGGTTTGCTTATGTAGGTGCTGTGCTTGTGAGATGCGTTAGGCCTCCTCAGTCTTATGGCCTCATTTTTAATTAATTTAACAGTCCCCCTTTTTGGTCATCCTCTCATACTTGAGAGATTACCCAAAACCTTGGTGTTAGTGTCGCTCTGTCACCATCAGAGTTAAAGTGCTCTTGTGAAACTCCTTGATTATGGTGTCAGATCCATGGAAGAATTGCTTTTGCTATTTTTTCCCATTGTTCAGCTTATTTCTGTTTCTCCAAGCGCAGTGGGACCACCTAATGTGCTGATGGCTACAAGCATGTAAGACCTTTGAGACAACACAGCTCACCAGATTGACTATGATACTGACTATGAGGAAGACAATACCAAGGCACTGAAGTACATACCTAGCCCTGGGCCCCGTGAACCAAACCAGTCAGTTCAAATAAATCAAAGAATGTATCAGATAAGGAAGGTATCAGCCTGTGTAAAAGGAGCTTGTTTGTCCATTTCTTGTATTGGAGTTTCTACAAAACCAGAGATGTTTATCTAGGAACAGCAGGAGGTATTTGCTATGGCACAGACTCCCCCTTGTTCAGCCAACAAGTAATCTAAAGCAATTCCACTGTCTAAAACCACCTCACCAGGAGAGCCTGGGGACTTTTGTTGTGTGGCCATGGCTTTTAGACTCAGCAGTGGTTGCCAGAGTTAAGGGTAAGTGTCTAATCATATGTTCATTTGTAATAGCTCCAAGCCAACGAAGAAGGGACCTGCCAAATGATCTGCATCCAGAGGGGTTAACATCTGCTGGTAAACTTCTTTTTGGTAAATTCAGGGGAATGGAACACTGTTGAGTTTCCAAGGTATTTGAAGGGATAATGGAACAGCAAATACAGTTAGGGCACATTGTTCTTTCATCCTCCAACTGTCAGGACAACAAATTGCCCAAGCATAGAAGCCATTGCCCAAACCTCCACATGTAAAGGTGTAGCAAGGAGGTACACATAGGGCTCACTCAAAGTATTAGCATCCATAGACCCATTGCTGGGGATAGAGGTATTAGTGTCATTCATCCAAGACTCAAATAGTCTGTTATCACATGTTGAAAGACCACCCAGATGTATGGACCTAACAGCAAGCCTACAATTGACCTGATTGACATTGGCTGCTCTGCAGCATCTTTTTTATATGCATTCACTGAATCTTGTTTTCCCATTCTAGGATTGGGTTAAATTGAGGCAAGAAACAAGTCTATGTAGATTTAGTGTGTTAACTTTATAAAATGGACCTACAGAACAATTTAGGCATATAGGGGCCTTCAGGATTTCCTTCAAGTCCTGATTTTGGTTTAGTATGACATCCAGTTAGTATAGTTTCCTACGGTAGCTACTGTTTGTGAGATCCTAATTATAGCATTGTCTTCCCATGCATCAGTAGACAGAAAAGATAGATAGGAATCAAGCAAAAGGGATAAAGGTTTTGTACTAGAGATAAAGATTTGGATCCGTGAATTTGGGAGAGCTGTCCACCTCAAGCTGTCATATACTTCTTGGGAGGAACCTCTGTGGTCAATCTTAGCTTTATATCTCTGTCTGGTGTATAGTTTCGAGAATCTGGAGGATCCCTTTCAACTATGAGTTGTGGCCCGAGGGTTCAAGTTCCTGAAGTTTGGCTGCCATCTCAGTTGTGAGGAGAACCGATATGGTCCTTTCCAATGAGATTCAAGGGCAATCTTTCTTAGGTATCGTTTCCAAAAGACCCACTCTCCAGGTTCTAAGTTGTGGAAAGTTCAACCATGTGCAGGAGGGTCATGAAAAGCTTCCTTTACCTGGTAGAAATACACTGTGGCATAATACATTAAAGCTTTACAATACTGAGTCACTGAGTCAGAATATGTGTACAGGAGACACATGTGGTTCTATCATTAAAAGCGTAGGTCTTCCTATTAATATTTCATGAGATGCTAATTTATGTTTTCCCATAAGTGTTGATTTAATTGCCATCCAAACCAATAGAACTTTTGGCCTGGGCAGTCCAGTCAATGCTATTCATTTAGCTAGCTTTAGTTTTAAGTTACCATGTGTCCACTCAACTTTACCAGATGACTGAAGATGGTAAGGACAGTAGTAATGCCATTGCGTCAGCAGCACCCTCTTTGTTTAGTTATTTGCCCAGTGAAATGAGTTCCCCATCACTGGAGATCTCTCTGGGGATACCCTGTAAAGAAAACTATCTTTTCTAAGAGTTTCTTAGTCATGATTGTGGCATCTGCACTTCTGCAAGGTTTTAGTCTGTCCTGAGAAAATTCAAACAATGACAAGGCCATATAGATAACCCATTGTGGAAGCAATTGAATGAAATCCATTTGTAAGTGTCCAAATGGCCCCATAGGTGGTAGGAGTGCGCCATCTAATGAGCCATCTTAATGGTCTTTCCAGAGTTAGGAGTTTGATCAATCAGACATTGGTCATAAACCAGTTTTGCCTTGGAACAGTCACCCACCAATCCTTTTTTCATAATTTAGGTCATTTTTTTCCTCTGCCATGATGAGTTGCAGAATGTAGCACTTCTAGTAATGGCATTTTTAAGGACTCAGGAAGAACCAGGAGGCCATCAAGGCCCCCCACATATCCTCATCTAATACTAAATTTGCACTCTAGTCTCAACATATGTTGGCCCAACTCAGGTGCCTGATTTTGTCTTCTATATAGATTGTCATAAATAATTTGGTTAGAATCAATCTGATGAAGTTCACTCAAGTTGTATATTGGAATATTTTTAGTGCTGGCTGATTTAGCTTGGAAGTCTGCTAGAACATTTCCCTGATACTCGGGTTCTGTTTTCTAGTAGTAAGTTCATTTTTAGTAATTCTAGTTCACTCAGTCAATAGAATGGCAGAGAGCAGTTCATTTAGTCCAGTTTTCCAGAAGTGAGGAACTCTATTTCCATAATGTAGCAAAGTCAAAGTCCACCCCAAAAGCATATGTGCTTTTGGTGTCTTTGGGTAGCTAACAAGCCTAAGTGAGGGCATGTAATTCTGTTGGTTGCAGACTTAAAGTCAGGAAGAGTCCCCTTTCTAGAAGTTCATACTGAGTTATTGTAGCATTCCTGCTTGATACTTCCTTCCCTTCTACATTCTTAGCATAGGACCTATTGATGAAGAATATTAAATCTGGGCTTTCTAATGATTTGTCCTATAAATCATAACCATGACAGCACATCTGCACATTTACGAGGCTCTGTGCTATCATCAGCCCAGGGCAGCAGGGTTGAGTGAGCTGCAGCACAAGAGATGGAGGTTAGAAGTTGAAGAAGGGAGCAAGTTCTCACAAGATGTTCATCTACTTGCTAAAAATGTTGAATCTGATCACAGTGTAATGGACTCTGACTAGCATGAGGTACTTGTAGTGTTGGGTCATGTCCTAACACCAGTTCAGTTGAGGCTCCCACCAGTTTAGGCACTGTGACTACCACTTTCCAGCAGTTTGGATGTGTTCTGGCCACTGGGTCTCACTGTAAGATGGGGTCAGCAGTAGGTCTGCGTTTTCCTCCGTGCTCTAGGTTAGAATTCCTAAAGCTGGGGGGATCCCTGGGTGGCGCAGCAGTTTGGCGCCTGCCTTTGGCCCAGGGTGCGATCCTAGAGACCCGGGATTAAATCCCACGTTGGGCTCCCGGTGCATGGAGCCTGCTTCTCCCTCTGCCTGTGTCTCTGCCTCTCTCTCTCTCTCTGTGACTATCATAAATAAATAAAAATTTTAAAAAATATATTAAAAAGAATTCCTAAAGCTGGTTATCACTCTAACAGACAAATAAGGTAAATGGTCTAGTATGGTTTGGGAGCCCTAGGGCTGGATTTTGTAGCAGGGCTGATTTTAGTTGGCTGCAGGCTTGTTCACGATTAGCTTCCCAGGATAAGTGCTCTGGAATTGAGTTCCTTGTAAGCTCAAACAGAACGATGCAATCAGAAAAATGTGTAGCCCAAGACCTACAGTATCCTGCAAATCCAAGAAACTGTTATTAGTTGTGGTTCTGGGGGAGTTTTGGGTGGTTTTTATTCTTTCAGGTGAGAGGGAAAGCCTTCTACTTTCAAATCATGTCCCAGATAATGGACCTTGTCTTTTGAGAATTGAGTTTTTTTCCTTGAAAGTCTTATGGCCTTTACAAACTAACTGCTATAATAGTTAAACTGAATCAATTTCTGAGTCCTCCCTTAGAGGGGAGCATAAAGATAAGGCATATATATATATATATATATATATATAGCATTCTTAGAGAACTATAAGCTCTTGATGTAAAACCTTTAAAAAACAGGATGGGGCTTCAGTGAATCCTTGTGGCAATATAGAACAGGTATATGTTGATTTTTCCAAGTGAAGATGAATTAAATATTGATTCTTGCTATCAACTCAGATACTGAAGAAAGCAGAGCAAAGATCTACCACTGTGATGCATTTTACCTTAGATAACAAGGTGTTGAGATTTGGAACTACAGGGAACCTGAGTATCATAGTTTTATTGTTTGCATGCAGATCCTACACACCTCCAGCCTTGTCCATTTGGTCTTTTAATGGGTAAGGTTGGAGCA